AAAATCTGACATAACTGTTCATCAAACAAACAAAAAGTCATAAAATCAGTTGCTTCACAGTTCTAAAGGAGCTATTCATAAAAGTTATGATAATACCTTACCATTATTTTACACTTCCATAAGTGATTTACAGACATGATTTAACTCTTTTTCCTTGAAACCTCCATGAGGTAGGCAGGTATGTAATTGCAGACCTTGAAACTCATGGATGTTAAGGGATTTTCTTAAGGTTACACAGCAATCTCTTGGCAAGGTAGGATTGCATACTAGATCTTGAGATCCAGCTTTCAGAAAATTATAAAAACATTCCAATATAATATTTGTTTGAAAATGTTTTAAAGCTTATTTCAAAATTGTGTTGCCCCAGAATAATATTCATTTTATGGAAGTTTCTAACTGAAGAAACTTGAGAACTGTCTAGTTTTTGAGGATTCCTATAATATGATACATGTGACATTCCTGTTAGGGGAATAGTAGGAGTAAGTCACACTCTTAAGCACCGTGTTATGATGTGTCTGCCTCACATGGATTACCATGTGTCAGTGGAACATAGGGTTTCCCATATTGGCACCACTGACATTTAGGATCAGATAATGCTTTGTTATGAGGAGTTACTGTGTGCATTGTGGGCTGCTTAGCACCATCCCTGGCCTCTACCCACTATATGCCACTAACAACTCCCCAGTTATGTCAAATAATGCCTCCAAATATTGTCAAATCCCCTTGGGGGCAAAATCATTTTTTGTGGAGAATCACTATTATAATTTGACTGACTATGCAAGTAAGTGAAACTGTGGAAAACTGGAGGTTCCTTTCCATGTTCTCAGTAACTTGAGTATTGATTCACAAAGTTGGAAGGATAAGGTTGGAATTAGGTTTCTAGAATCCGATGAATACAGAGTTAATGAAAACAGTCACTTCCCTGACTTTTAGGTCAGAAAGTAATTTTGACAAAAGAGAAATTCTCTGTGTAAAGACATAAAAAGTCTTCTTTGTGCCATGGGAATGGCTAATGTCTGGAGCTAGTAGAGCTACAGTCAAGTAAGAGACTTTTAGAAGAGATATGTTATTTTTACAGATTTGGGCCAAAACCAAAACTTGTTTGAAATAACTAATCCAGAGGAATTCTCATAATTTCTTATGGAGTAGCAATTCAGGAAATAAAAGGGCTAACTAGTACTTTAATATTTGTTATATGTTATTAGAAATTGATAAAAAAATCTTTACCAAATAGGATTCAGAAACTACCTTCTACTTCTGTCAGAATTTTACTAATTGTGTTGTTCAGGCTCTACGGAACTTTTGGTGTTCCATTTTTGTTCTGCCCATGAATTTTTTCATTAGATCAAAACTTTTGTTACTAACAGAACAAGATTCTCAGACTCTGCCGTCAGTTGTTTAGCAATTGTAATAATGAGATGAAGCTTCCTTCAATATTCTCTGCTAAATGCCTGCTCTCAGTAAGTCATTGCTCTAGAAATATCTATGTTCTGCATTTTAGTTCCTCTTTGACTTTGGGAGGAACTTATAAACCTGCTCCTTTGACAGGAGGATTAGCTGCTAGATTTAGGATCGATCTATAAATAAGGTTTGAAAATACTTTCAGGAAGGTATATATTAATAGTCTTATTTTACAGATGAGGAAGTTGAGACACTGAGATGTTAAATAAGTTGCTCACATTACAGATTAGGGACATAATGGAAATTCAAACTCAGGGCTGTCTGATGACCAAGGTTATGTTCCATCATACTGCAAGACCTTCCTGTCTCCCATGAAAGGAGGTAGCAGCATTCTTACAGACTTTTAAGCAACTAATATATGGTATAAGTATATATTTATACCTGTAATACACATATTTTTAGCTATGGAATAATTTGGGGTGTATGTGGAGTAGAATGTTGAATATTGATGCAAGAGAGGAAAGTCAGAAAAGAAAAGGATCCCAATTATGAAACAATGTTTGGGAAGATAGCCTATTTATTATTTTATTTCTTCATGCATCCATCTATTTGTTCAATCATTTATTCATTCATTCATTCAACAGGCACATAATAAGCCTAGCATGTGCTAGCCAATGTGGTATTGGACTGATGTGGCTCATGGATCTCTTGGTGGTAACTACATAGAGTGGACTTATAAGAAAAGCCAGCTGGGGCTCCAGGAGGGTCAGGGAGCAAAGAGCGGTATTACTATCTGTGAGATAAAGGGAAAGATGCCAAAACCCTGATAGGGGTTTCACTCAGGGAGAAAAGGGAGAGAAACCTGTACCTACTTTACAGATATGTCTGGGGATATTGTCTACATGAAATTAATTACTGCTCCCAGCTCAGCCTTTATATCTCCATGACCTTACCAGTAGTTACAAGGGTATAAATATACTTATAGCTACTTACTCGTATCACCTCTAATGCAGCTCTGATGTAGCAGGTATTTGTGGTGTCAAAAGAACAGTAAGAACATGACGAAGATTCACTCAGAATCACCAGTTTACTTAATTGGCCCTCATTTGACATTATAGGTTCGCATATTGAGGCCAGGCCATGCAACCTTTATACAAAAATTTGAGCTTAAAATTTAGCCTTTTAAAAACATAGAATTCATTTTAATCTGGAAATTTTTATTTTAGGAACTCCTAGAGTAAATGGGAACAATTTATAGCACAGTAAAACAATATTTGATTGTTTTGGGGTGTTATTAAAATGGGCTGGCAATTTTATTGTACTTGAATATAAAATAGTTTGAGTGACTATCATGAAATTTTTTTCTAAATCTCTTTCATATTTTTTCCTTTTTGGTTTATAAATACCATTAATATCAAGTGACTGCAACTGTATGGGTTAATCTGGCTTGGGAATTGACAAGAAATAAAGTGCAACTAGTAATTCAAGTTATTTTCTCTTCACAGTGGTAATGCTCATTAAATTATAAATAACTATTATGGCGTAGTGAGGGGTTTGCAATGGAATTTAAAAGAGCTGTTGCACTCATGAGTATAATTTTATCTCTTGCAAATTATGGCATGCCTGTTTATAGTAATAAGGTATTATAGAGATCACTGAGTAATAGGTAGTTCTCATGGGAAGATGCTATCGTTGTCTAACCTTTCCCTATTGATGTTACCATTGGAAGGAAGAGTTATAATATATCAATGAAAACACAGGGCCATGCTACTCCTCCTGCCCCCATGACTCCCTAAATCCATGTAACTGAGTCAGATTGCCAAATATGCAGTTCTCATATAGAATGAGTGCCCCATGATTTCAGACCCTCTACTGGTATCTCTTTGATTATTCAACACCTCCTCAAACAAGCAATAGCATTAGAAAACCAGCTTGCTGTCTTCAAGTGAGGTGTTGGTTTTGTCTGTGCTTGAGCTTTTCAGGCCTTGTTTTACCTATAGGACAAGTGAATAACTCTAGATAGCAGGTACATTATAGGATATAGAGAAAGGAGTAGGAGGCTTCAATGATGATACCCTGTTTCCATCAATGACAAGTAAGCTTTTCAAACTAAAGCTGGTGAAAGACTTGAGAAAGTTTATTTGCAAGTCAAGCCTGCTTGAGGTATTCTGTTACTGGAATATCCCCAGGCTTCATTGGTCTGTGGTTACAAATAAAGCCGGAATATTAATAATATTCCAGTCTTGATGGCTAACTCCAATTGCAACAGAAGATATCAGGCCCCTACAAAATTCCCTCTGTCAAGACTTTTCAGTAGTCCCTGGAGTATGTCCCATATGAGCTCTCCTGCAGGGCACTGCCACCTTCCCACCAGGTCTCCACTGAGTACTTCTGTCTCTGCTGACCACCACTGATGTGTGTCCATTGTTACAAGTAATATCAGTTTCCTAATGCTATCATAAAAAATTTACCACAAAGTTTATGATTTAAAATAACAGAAATTCATTATCTTATATTTTAGAGGTCAGAAGTGTAAAACGGGCCTTATGGGGCTAAAATCAATATGTTGGCAGAGCTGTGTTCCTTCTGGGGAATAACGGGTGAATCTGTTTCCTTGCCTTTTACAGCTTCTAGAGGTTGCCTGCATTTCTCAGCTCCTGGACCCATCTTCCATTTTTAAAGTGCATCACTCCAAGCTCTGCTTCCATTTCCCTATGGCCACATCTTTTTTCTGACTCTAATACTTCATCCTCCTTCTCATAAGGAATCTTGTAATTAAACTGGACCCTCTTGGAAAATCTAGGGTAATCTTCCCACCTCAAGATTCTGAGCTATTAATAAATCATACCTGCCAAGTCCCTGTACCATGTAAGGCAATATATTCCCAGGTTTTGGGAATTAGGATGTGGAACTCTTTGGGGGTCCATTATTCAGCCCACCACAGAAGCTTCCTGCCCAGACACGGATGCTGCTGTCTAAATATCTCCACCAATGCCCTGGAATTCCTACAATACAGGAGTGGTACTGGGCACCAAACAAAGAGGGTGGGGAGAAACAGGCATCACCCTACTCTATGTCATACCTCAGAAGCACACGCCTCAAAGTCCCCATGAAAAAAGTTGTTCAGCTTCTACTTCTGTTCCTCTCAGTGAAGAGCTCTGATGTAGTTCATAGGCCTGAGCTGGGGCCCTTCATCATGTGCTCTTCTCTTTCCATTGTACTTTATTCCTGCAAAGTGAACAGTCCCACATAAAACTTCCTACTGGTAGACTTTTTAATGTGGAGAATCAACACATGTATGTAGTGCTAGGGCATAGGCAACTCCTCAGTATCAACATGGCTAAATCTTAGCTCAGGCCTGTGTTCTCCTGATATAATTCATTAATTTGAGAATTCACTAATCCATCTTAATTCATTCCCACAAAACCCACCACTAAATGAAAAGCCAATATATTAAAAATGTTCTCATTAAATTTAATGAAAAAATTATGATACATCCCATCTCAACTAGCCTCCTCCTAAGATATTGAAAACATTCAATACTTGCACCTTCCCCTATGACATTCATGTTAATAAATTCAGATCCCATTCATTCACAGTATGTGTTACGATGGACCTGCTGTGGGGCTAGAAGTTGGATGGATGATGAAAGTCATTGCAAAGGGTGGATAACATCATAAAGGTAATGTTTAAAACTGTTGAAAAAAGCATAGTTGACTCCAGTTTAAAAAATCTTTTGTTCATGTAAATAATTGATATAATAATTATGCACACAAGTGGCCTAATCACTTTGGTAGATTCTTTGCTACCTCTGATATAAGCATTTAATTAGCATAATTCTAATCAAAATGTAGTGTATAATGAAGTCTGAGCCATATGGTAAAATATCACTTCTTATATTTATTTAAAGGGGTTTTGGGTGAAAATCGGCTATATAAATATAAAAAGAAATTGTTGGAAAAATGATAAAACTTTTCAGAAGACAATATTTACTTTTGCTACCAAAATAAAGTCTATATTTATTAGACACTTACTTATCCAAGCTCAGGGATTTTAAGATAAAGAAAACAATCCTTATAATGAAGAGTTTCACTGCTTAGTGGGAGAGATCAGGAAGTATTAAACCTGCACAGAAACAAGCCAAACCATTAATATGGTTATCAGGGAATGAATTGCTGAACAATTTATTTTTTATTCAATATATTGATTTAAACATATACAGTGAACCTGCATAACTTCTATAAGTAGAAACACTTAAAATTTATCTTTATGTTATCTACTTACTGTAAGTTAACAGCAAGCTACAGTTAAGCCACTGAGCACATCCAACACTCATTTCAAATTAAAACTATCTCTTAGACCTCAGAATTGGCATTGTAAAATTATAAGCCACATCTCTAACTTAAAGCTGCTCTGTCATGTCTTCTCCAGCACGGGCCTGACTCTCCAAATCTTTAGGCTTTCTGGAAGGGGATACGATTCTAGTTGGCTCATGGGTTCTGATAAACTCCTTAGTAATCCCAATGGAGTTATAGAATGTTTGAATTGGAAAGGGCCTTGGAGCTTAAAGGTAACTTGTAATTACAACTGGAAAAATAGAGGCCTGCATCAGTGATACGAGCTTGGCAGTAATGTGAATTATTGGCACCATGACTGGGCAGAAATTACTCATGTGCTTCTCTTAAATAAGGTGCCAGCTTGAGCTTCATAGGACCTACTATAAGAGATCCTAAGATTCCTATTACCATTCAACCTGGATCAAAATTAATTACCAGCCAAAATCCAGTGAGTTCTTTCTGTACTTTCCATCTGTCTTAACTTTGCTGCCAAGACCAGTTGCAGCCGATCAGAGAATACAATGTAACCCGTGGCGCTACCCTCAAATTTGGCTCTTCTTTTTGCTTTCTGGGCAGGCCAGCCACCTTTACAAGTGACCACATTTTTTTGATGTCTCATCAATTGGTAGTCTGATATTTGGCTGCTCAGTTCATATTTTCTCAGCACAGATCACTTTGGTCTGTGACTTAAAAGGTGGGCTCTGGCATATTATTCTGCATCTCTCTCCAGCCTGGACTTGCTTCTGGGCCTAGTCCCTCCTGGCTAAACAAAGATATTGATGAAACAAACAAAAGCATTGCCCTTGAGCTGCCTTTTTCTCCTCAGCTTTGCTTCTACCCTTCCCCAAGTTGTTGAATCTCTCCCTGTAACATTAGAGGCTGGGGCTGGAGTACTCTTTCTTTCATTGTGTACAAAACTTCCAACCTTCTCCTTCAAAGTGAAGGGTGACAAGTAGGGCACTCCAAAACTTTCTGTTAGAAGACTTTATAGCTTAATCACTCAGGGATAAGTTTAAAGCTGAAAGAAACCTATGTTAAAATTCTAGCTCCCCCAGTCGCTTACTATGTAGCTTTGTGACTTTGGGCAAAAATTTAGTTTCTCCATCTGCAAAACAAAGTTTATAATAGCACCAACTTATGGAGCAGAGTCATTGAAATGATGCAGGTAAAACTCTTGATGAGTTCCTGACATGTAGTAAGAACTCAGCAAGCAGTAGCCTTGAGTATTCCTTTTCTTCACTAACTCCCCAGACGCCGCACTGGGACTCTCATTTATGGGACCTGTGTACTGACATTCAATGTGCATATTCAGTTTGTACCAAATTATGTTTGTAACTGATAATCAGATGTTGACATTGACGGTGTGATATTGGTACCATTTTCTGGCATTAAGATTTGTTTGAATATTTTTGCTTTTTGGGGTTATTTTTCTTAATTTTACTGAGCTTCAAGGAGGGCAGCGATTTTAAAATAGGCATTCTCTCCATCATCTTTCCTAGAAGTACTGTCAAATTATTTTTCTACTTCTAATATACTACTTTGAACAGAACATGAGTGCAAAGTTTGCGTTTAATAAAACATGATACTAAAAGTTACATGATACTTAAAAACTAGGTGTAAAGAAAAAAATGTAGAGTTTGTCGCCTTATTTTATTTAAGGTATATGACCAAATTAATTTTTTAATGTTTTTTTTTCTTTTTAAATCTTGGAAGTCCCACATAGGTCAAATCCCATGATTCAAACTTTTTTTTTCTTGGCTTCCTGGCTCTAATGCAATGATTAGATTTCTGTTTAGCTGCTATTTCTTTTATAAATTCTTGCAGTGCTTCTCATGTGATTTTTTTTTTCCTTTTTGCAGAACAGGAAATAACCACTTGGCCCTGTTTATGGTGGTTTTGCCTGTACCAGCATGTCCTAGAGAAATACAACCCATGGCAAACCTCAGAATGTCAGGGGAAGATGAATGGCCTTGAATATTTTGAACAATGTAAATTCAACAGAGTATAGAATATATTACATTTTAGGCTAAGCTCCATTTTCTGGAAAAAAGAAAATATGGCTAAAATGTTTCATAGTATAAATCAGCCTTGATTCTTTCAAAATCATTCAAAGAATTGTATGTGCTGATGACAAGTTCTTTGCTTTTTAATGATGGTGTATATGAGTAAATCAGAGCCTTATTTCAAGATTACTGTCAATTTATGCCTTTTACTGACATTAACCTTCCTGTAAAATGAGATCATTTACGTTCACCTTTCAATTGACTGGCTGACATTATAAGTCGCCTACTCTAAGATTTAATCAAGTATAAACTGAATATCTTCTCTGGGTCACGTTACCTAGTCTAGTAAAATTTGTTTGAAGTAAGGCCCTTAATGCTGATCATTGAGCTCACACTGCCCTGGGTTCATAATTTCCTTAACTCCTTGCTTTCTGAAATCTTTATTTGCTTCACTTTTCTTTGTTTCCATTTTTCGCCATCACCTTGTGCAGGAAAGGTGAGAGCTAAATCTATTGAGTGTGTTTGTTGCCATGGTGAAGAAAATAGTACAATTCCACAGTTAATAAAGAGTATCAGGGTGAGGAAGGTATTTCTTCTAAGCTCCCATGATTTTCATTTCATTACAGTGGAACTAAAGAGCACTGACAGGCCTGTTGAAGCAAAATCTTATGTTAGATGTAGTTCAAAATGTCATGCTATTCACTCAGAATATAGTACTTTCCTTTGAGAAATTATTTAAAATGCTTACAATGGAGAAACATTTTAAAAGGGACTTCATGTGGTCATTTACTTCCCAACTGAAAAGAAATTGGTATTCTACAGATTTCCATTTTGAAAACTGGACAGTAACAGAGTAATACTGTTACAAAATCCCTTATTAATTCATGCTTTAAAAATGATTTATGGCTTTCTAAAGGAAAATGCCTACATTTAGATGTCCCATCTAAACTTGAGTGTGGAAAGTATAAAGAACTTTATCTTTCACAAATACAAAGGGTAATGCATTTTTAGTAATGCATGTGGTTCTGAACAGAAAATCTTTCGCGTATCCTTTCTAATCTCTCTTTCCATTTCTTCTACTTACTCCTCCTGCCTACCTCAATCTTTCTTCACAAGTACTTACAGATTCACAAGGTCAACTGTGTTAGGAATTTTTACTAGAAGAGAGAGAAGAAAGTAGCTAAGGTCCAACAGTGTAGCTGAAAATCTTTGCCCCATGAATTTTTTATTTGTTAGGTAATTCAAAACACCACAGCGGAACCTTGTGTTAGAGCTCACATCAACTTCACAATCTTTAATTTAAATGGAAGCAAATAGAAAGCTTTCTTAATTGCACTCTTTTCCACTTATCTAAGTCTAATTTACTATGATGAAATTCACTTTGGTGAGCATTCCATTGTTTCAATAAAGAAAGAAAATAAAGAAAAATAATTTTTTAAAAAGTAGATTGAAGAAAAGAATATTTGAAAATAGCAAATTTCCAACTTTTAACTTCATTGTTAGGTTGCCAGGTTCCTTATGAATGCTGAGATTGTTAGAACTGCAAATAAAATAGAATAAAATATTGAAGTAACTCGTGTTGAAATCTTCTGATACACAACACAAAGGTATGTTATGTAAGAAGTTTTCTGTCTGAATATACTTCAAATAATAGAAAAAACTGGAAAAAGAAAGATGAATGCATTCAAAGCTTTCTTTAGGGGAAAGAAAGTTAGCATTAAAAATAGGTAGTAGACATTTTGTTAAAAAATTATGTTGGAATAGGTGCTATTGAGATGGATATATGGGAAACTGGAAGAAGTAATAATTGTGGGATACTCATGCTGTGCTATGCACCTCAAACAATTTATCTTGTATAATCTTTGTTTATTGTCAGCCTGAGGAGGGTGGGTAGCATTGTGTACATTTTCACAAATAAAGGGAGAAAAGAAATCTTTTTCTCAAGCTCCTAGAATAGAATACTTGAAGTCAGGTCCATAGGATGCCACACCTTATTGTCTGCCCCCTGCTGATAAAGGAAGCAAAGGTTTCCAGTATTTTGGATAAAGGGGCATTGGAAGAGAAACTGGAGAGAGCAAATTCATAAATTTGCCTGGTTAATTCCATTTTATTATTATTTCTTATAAAACAAAATAGATGTTCTGATGGTCACATGACCAGGGAATTTTATTTATTCAGCTGGACATTGCAAGTCTGAGTAATCATCCTCCAAATCTCACTTCCATTTAATTATAACCTATTGACTGTATTTTTCCATTTTACAGACAATGACAATATTTATTTGGATCCATTAAACAATATAAATCTGAGCATTTTTAAAGATCACATCAAACTTAAGAGAAAGACTGTACCTCAAGACATAGAAGAAATAAAAGACATGGACACTGTGTCTTAAGAACATAAAATCTAAATGTTGAGTCAAGTCAAACCAAGACATGTAAATGCATTTGAGACTCATATCAGGAAGCACAACACAGATGTAGACTGATATGAATTTCTTTGCAGATAAGGTCCAAAGATCCAGACTGATGATAAGCCCAAAGCTCATTGAGGACAATTACCACTGGATTCTCCTACAGAAGGCTGCAAACACAGTTGTGGATTTTTACTAAAGTTACAAAGGTAAGGGCTTTTAGTAAATTTTATTTCATAGGCAGTATTTAATTAAAAATAAGCTAATATTTTTGGTTTTTTCTTTTGAAGCTGTTAGTTTCTAGGTAAAATCACACTCTACAATAAATAGAAGTAATGGCTTACCATAGATTACATATCTACCTTCTATAATGGAACATTTTTACAATAATTGATACTCATTCATTTATTCTTTTATTAAAATATGTTGTGTATCTCTTGTTTACTAGGCATTGAGTAGGAAACAAAGCATGATGTTTTATATTTTAATATTGAACATTATAGATCATAAGAGTCTAAAACAAGGCAACAGAGTTTTCCAAAGTGATTTTCAAAGCACTAATTCTTCAAGAATCTTCCCATCCCTAAAGGGCACCATGGCCAAATCCATTTGGTTAAACATTGCAATGACTTAGAAAGCCTATGAGAAAGAAGTCCCTCTGGCTTTGCCAAGCCCAAAACACTTTTTTTTTTTAAACCAAGGATCATTGATTAACATCCTGTTGCACAAAACATCCTAGGTGAGATGTCAGCCCAGAGCAGGCCTATTTGTAGTACTAGTTCTGCAGCACAAAGATGTGAGAACAAGTGGGCAGATGCCAAATTCTGGAAGAGGTAGAAGAGTAGAAAAATTCTTTCATTTCTTTCATTTTTTTGAGACAGGGTTCTGCTCTGTTGCCCAGGCTGGAGTGCAGTGATGTGATCTTGGCTCACTGCAACCTCTGTCTCCTGGGATCAAGTGATTCTCCCACCTCAGCCTCCCGAGTAGCTGGGACTACAAGAATGCACCACCATGCCTGGCTGATTTTTGAATTTTTTTGTAGAGACGGGGTTTCACCCTGTTGCCCAGGCCAGTCTTGAACTCCTGGATTCAAGTGATCTTCCTGTCTCAGTCTCCCAAAGTGCTGGGATTATAAGTGTGAGTTACCACTCCTGGCCCAGAAAAGCCTTTTAAGCATGTTATAGCTCTGTCACCAAGAGATCAAACTTGGAGTTGTTTGGAATAAAATCAACCATGGTGAAAGACATTGCTACATAGGCTCTAAAGTCATACAAACTCCTTCCTTCCATCTGTTCCTCCCTCCCTCCCTCCCTTCCTCCCTTCTTCCTTCCTTTCCTCCATCCCCAAGGAAAGATACATACCTATAGAGAGCTATAATCTACTTACTCATAATTGATTCTTTCCAAGAAGATATAAGAACGTAAACATTTTCAGGTTTCCCATATCTAAAAATATCTTATTTTACCTTCACAATTTTAGGATAATTAGGCTGAGGATGGAATTCTAGATTCAAAGTAATAGTCCATCAAAGCATTGAATATATTGTTACATTCCCTTCTAGCATCTGGTATTGGTAACAAGAAATCTGGAATTCTGATTTGCTTTCTTTCTTTTGTTTGTTAATAATTTGTCTCTCTGGAAACTTTTAGAATTTTCTGGGCAACTTTATCTCCCTGTAATTATATCTATTTTACAGCCAGATATTGTTTATTTTAATATACTCTTTCACCTTGATCAATCTTGCCATTTACTATCCTAAAAAAAGAAGCTTATACTCTCCTAAAAGCTAATAAGTGTGTAAAAAGATATTCAGCATCATTCAGAATCACAGGATGCAAATTCATTTAAAATGAGACATTATTATGCAGCTGTTAGACTGACAAAAATCTAGGTAATGATACGTTTTAACAAGAATGAGGAGAAACTGGTAACCTCAAGCACTGCTGATGGTAACGTAGGTTGGGGTGGCCCTTCTGGAGAGCAGTTTGGCATTTGGCACTAAGTGTAAAGACTGAGCTTACATCTACCCATGATCTAGCAACTCTGTTTCTGGGTGTATATATATCCCCCACCCCATCGGCACAACACTTTTATGGATAGAAGAGGAGAGTGTGAGAGAGAGAGAGAGAGAGAGAGAGAGAGAGAGAGAGAGAGAGAGACACCCCACAGGGATTATATGAGGATTTTCATTGTATTGATATTTGTGGAAAAGAAGAGTAACTTGAGGACATTAGATTGACAAGATGTGGTGAACTCACATCCCACATTCATAGGGATATATATATATATATATATATATATATATATATATATATATAAAACAAAAAAAAAAAACTCATTAAACAGAATGGTTGCCATGGTTTTAGGGTAAAGAGATCTGGGAGTGAACAAAGGAGAATGCATTAAATCTAACCATCAATGAAAGGATTTATTTATTTTTGTTAATCCTTTCCTCTCTATTCTTTCCCCCACCTCTCTCTCATCTATCTGTCTATCTACCTACCTACGTATCTAATCAAAAAGGTCTCCCTGTCCTCTCCTTTCTATCTTCTAACCCTATCTCCCCCTCTCTGTTTTTGTTTCTCTCTCTCTCAGATCACTATTTTTCTGGGGAATCCAGCTGTCATGGTGCGCAGCTCTACAGAGAGGCCCATGCAGTGAAGAATTGAAGCCTCTAAACAATAGCCATGTCGGTCCGTTTGGAAATGGATTCTTCTCAGCCTACCCTTAAGATAACTGTGGCCCCAGATAATAGCTGGATTGGAATATTATAGAGATTTTGCACCAAAATCACTTAGCTTATCTGCTACCAGATTTCAGGCCCACAGAATCCCTGAGATTAAAGAAAAAGTTTGAAGATTTAGGCTACAAAGTTTTAGATAATTTGTTACACAGCAGTATATAAGTAATAGCCAGGAAATCAACTCTTAGGTACATATTCCAGGAACACTGGATCAGGTGCCTAAGCATGTTCCCTGAAACACTAATTATGATAAAAATAGATGGAGGCAAATAGATTTTCATCACTATCAGAATAAAATAAGTAAAATATGACAATTTCAAAAATATAATGAAACCGTGCCCCAAAGAGTAATGAAAATAGTAACTAATAGAAATCTTTAAGTTTGCAGATTGTAGATAAGAAAACAACTTGTTGAAATGTTGAAACATTATCTGCTTGTAAGATAACAAAACTGGCTACACTCAGAACCAATATGGCCAACTGGAATTTATGCAGAATTAGCTTGCAGACATCACATGTTTTATATGAGCTCACCCTGAATTTGCACATGAGACCCATGAAGAGGCATGAAAAACTAACTGCACCCAGAAGGGACTTCCAGACCTCCCCTTTCCTTCCACAAATTACGTACTAATTCTCAGACTACACCATCTAAATCTTTTCCAATACAATTACTGCCTTAGAGTCAGCAGGGGAAAACAAGTTTGAACTAGACTCCTGTCTTCTTGGTCGACTTCCAGTAAAAAGCTTCTCTTTTCTCAAGAACCTGGTGTGATAATATTGGCTTTTAGTTCATTTGGGCAGCAAGCATCACTGGCTTGGTAACAGTAATGCCATAATAAAACACTAGAAGAAATAACTAGATTGGACAGATAGATCTTCAAAACACAGTAAATTGTACAAAAATGTTACCCAAATAATCATTTATAATGAAATTCTTAAGAGATAAAACAGACTTAGAGAAAACTGACATTTAAGTTTAAAAACAATCAGTTTATTATAAGTAATCACAGATACACAAATACAAATATATTTCCTGATTATGAGCGAGAAGAACAGAAAAACATATATTAGACTAAAATTAAGAAATGAATATGGGATACACCAAGACCTTTGATAATGCCTGCCCATAAACTGAGGAGTATGTACACTCTCCTCTGTGTAACTGAAGTCCAATAATACTTTAACATACTACATGAAAATGTGAACCAGTGCTACAACCTCAATTAATCATAAATTCAAACAATTTTGAACAAAAAATGAGGTATTAGAATAATAATTGGATCATAGTAAAGATTTATTCTAAGAATGCAAATCAATATTAGAACATATGGTATTTTAATGTATTAGCATACAGAAAAATATAAGGTAACTAAATTTGATGCATTTAACAAAATAAATACTTTAATATCTTTCAATCAGTCTTTACTTTTTTAAACATTATTTTATTTTTTTCCATTTATTTTATTGCATTTTAGGTTTTGGGGTACATGTGAAGAACATGCAAGATTGTTGCATAGGTACACACGTGGCAGTGTCATTAGCTGCCTTCTTCCCCATCACCTACTTCTGGCATCTCTCCCCAACTCCCCACCCCTCAGCGTCCCTCCCCTATTCCCCCCAAATGACTCCAGTGTGTAGTACTCCCCTCCCTGTGTCCATGTGTTCTCATTGTTCAACACCCACCTATGAGTGAGAACATGTGGTGTTTGATCTTCTGATCTTCTGTCAGTTTGCTGAGAATGATGGTTTCCAGGTTCATCGATGTCCCTACAAAGGACACAAACTCATCGTTTTTGATGGCTGCATAATATTCCATGGTGTATATGTGCCACATTTTCCCT